AAACAACCCAATTTAAAAATGGGCAAAAGACTGAACAAACATGTCATCAAAGAATATGTTCAGATGGCAAATAAGCATAAGAAAACATGTTCAACATCATATTACTAGGGAATTGCAAATGGAAAAAGAAGATATTCCTATTGTTTTAGTATTTTTCATTTCTCTGACCAAAAAGAAAACTTGATGAGAACAATCAGAGAATAAAAGTTTATTTGGGCTCACAGTTTCTTAGAGGTCTAGATCCATATATGTCCAACTCCACAGCTCAAGACCTGAGGTGATGCAGAACATCATGGTAGAAAGCCATGGTGAAGGAAAGCAGTTCATGGCATAGCCACCAGCCAGCAGAAAGCAAGCTCTGCTCACAAGAGACAAAATATAAACCCTAAAGGCACACTACCAGTGATCTATCTCTTCCAACCACACCATACCTGCATATAGTTACCACCCCGTTAATGCATATCTGTGGTTTAATACTCTGACCATGTCACACCTCTCAAATCTGATCATTTTACCTCTGAAAATTCTTTCATTATCTCACATATTAGCTCTTGGGGGACATCTCAGATCTAAACCCTAACACATACCTACTGTAAGAGCTAACATCCAAATCTCTGGGAATTTAAATTTCTGGCAAGGATGTGGAAAAATAGGAAGTTTTAATTTATTGCTGGTGGGAATACAGATTTATACAATGACTTTGAAAGATATTTTGGCTATTTCTTACCAAACTAAGCATAGCTTTCTATATTCAAATTAATAAAAAACTGGAGTAGATTATGTTTTGTGAATGCATTAATATGTCCCAGTAAAACTACAATATTATGTATAATTTTGATGCCCTAATAAAAGCATTAAAAATTGCATCAGGCTGGGGTTATACCTCAGTGGTGAAGTATTTGTTTAGCATGTATGAGGCCTGATGTTCAACTCCTAGCACTGCAAAAGCAAGCAAACAAATCCTACACATCTATACATTAAAGTTTATATCAATTTTATTCACAATTTCTATAATTTAGAAGTAACCAATATTTCCTCTAGTAGGTGAATTTAAAAAATCAACTACGGTGCATATGTGCCATGGAAGTATATTTAGCAATAGAACAGGTAATTAATGAAACCTTAAAGTCTTGAATTCAGTGCATATTACTAAGAGGAAAAAGCCAGTCTGAAAAGTATGATTTCATCCATATGACTGGGGGAAAAGCAAATTTATAAAGATAGCAAAAACATTAGTAGCTGCCAGAGGTTAGGGAGGTGATGAACAATTACAGTATAGAGGGTATTCAACATTGGAACTGTTCTATATGACACTCAGATGGTGGATACATATTATGTATTTATGAAATGCTATAGGTGTGTATAAAACAAAGTAAATTCTAATATAACTATAATAGTTAATAATGTATCTGTCTTTGACAATTGTAACCATATACCACACTAATGTAAAATATTGATAAGTTGGATAACTATGTGTGCTGGTACAGCGGAGGTACTTTATAAGGAAATTTCAGCAAAAATTTATTGTAGAGGAAGTAAGTATTCACTTGAAGTCTTAAAACTGAAGTAGAAGAATAATCAGGAAAACAGTACACTGATACTGAGGGGATTGGTGCTTGATAATCACCGTACAAATGGCAAGAAATTGAAGAAGACAACATGACTTGGAAAACAAATTAATGTAGGATCTAGATGGAGAAATAGAGAATTACTGATTTGTACACTTCATGGCTAAAATAAAGTCATGCCGTGCTCTTACATAAAAATTACAGGAGTTGCTGGAATACCAAGGTATATTAGAAATAATGCTTGCACGATTTTCTCGAAGGCACAAGGAATGAGATTACCCATTTTGGTCATTTTTTTCCAAAAGAATTTGTCTTCATTACCATAATAATATTAAAAGTCTATATACATATCTGGCATGTGCGTAAGTGAGCCAGATTGCTGAAGTGTTGTGTACTATTGATGGCTTTTAACTCAACGTTTTCAGCTTTGGGAAAAGATTGACTTACATAATTCAGTATTTGCATATGCTTTGCATGTGGAACTCATGTAGGGTCACTGTTAAACTGGACTGTACTGTAAATATTAGCTTTGAGTCTAAGGCATTATAGCCAATTGATGGTTAGTTATTGCAGATCATGATCTGAAAGTGTGACTTTTAAGTCCTTCATGGTTATTTGAAATGTTTGATGAATTACATTTTAAAACTGTCAATGCCTGTTAATTCTGTTTAGAGCTTACATTTAGTTTGCATGTCAATTGGACTTTAAGTAGGCATATTTCATGATTTGGCCAGATGGTGTCTGGGTGATACAGAAAATCTTTGAGAATAAGGAAAGATTATTACACTGTTTAAGGAAGTATTATTGAACACAGATTTATTTAAGCATTTGAAACATAAAGGGAGGTACTAACAGCTACTTTTTATCTATGCTTTGATCATTTTTTGACTTAAATACTTTGTACATAAAGAAGAATTGAAATTTAAAACTATCTTGGGTTTGTGGTAAATGAAGGCCTTATATAGACACCAGATTTAGGTCTTTGATGATTGTTATATTGATCATAATGTGACGGTTTTAGGGGAAAGATACTCAGTGGTTAATTAAATATGTTTAAAATATCCCATCATTAGAGTATAAACAACACAATGAATAAAGTATAAAATGCATATTCATCTAAGTGATTCTCTAGAGCTAACTGAAAACAAACATCTTGTTTAAGAAGATGGTTTCCACATATAAGTAAGATCATTTGGTACTTGTCTTTCTGTACCTGGTGTATTTCATTTATCATGATGTTTTCCAGCATGGTAAGTATTTGAAGGGATAAATATGTTAATTGGTTGTATGTAGTTAATCATTTCACATTTTACATACACATACACATATGTGAAATGATATATAATTTCACATTATATGTATAATAACACCATCTTGTACTTATAAATACATATAATTATGATCTATACATTTGCAATCAAATTTAAAAAAGAATGTTGGGGATAAAGGAACAGATTAGGCAAAAATAACCAACTTGATTGAAGACATTTTTAGGCCTTTCCTGAGGGAAAAAATTAAAATAAATAAAAATAAATATAAGACTGTGGGGGAAACCATTTTGAATTCAATTTTGTGATCCTTGTGTTGAGGCCTCTCTAATAACTTAATAATCTGAAGAAAATATTTCATAACTGATACATTTGTTTTGGTAGATTGCTCCTAAAAAGAATGTAAAGAGGAGTGAGCCATAAGTGAAAATGGGCAGGGAATTATTTTTTATATTCTCTGGGATATGAAGTCATAGACATTACAGAGAATGTTACTTTTCTAGTCTTCCATGTAGAATTTAAATTTCAAGGCTTCTTTTGCCCTGGCATAAATCTGATGACACTTTGTTTTGTGGCTATCTTTATCAGAAATATCTGTGACTGATGAGTTCTTTATGTAGGAATTCCTTTAGTTGAGGTGATCACTTTAGTGTTGTATGAAACCTGAGGTGCTCCCTTTGCACTTTCTTGTTATTAGCTTTAATCAACTATCATAGTTGAAATCAGGACATGGACCTCAGAAAAATTGTCTCCACTTCGTTATTCTAGCCTCCACTGAAATTAGATTTCATTTAAATTAAAAACCACTCTGTTGAACCCACTGCTAAGAGACTGATAAGCTACAGAGTGAAAAAAAAAGTGTTTTCCTAGAAAATATGTGTTTTGAAGTGTCTGTATTGCTACACCTGTTCTTTTGAGAATGAGGTTTAGGGAGACTCTGAAAATATTTCCTATAGATTCCCTGTTGCTTTTTTTTTCCTGTTGTGATATGGGAAGCAAGAAAAATTGAAGGGATAGCATAGAAGAAAATGAGATGTGATTAATATTTGATAATTGTGTGTAGGACCAATGTAATTGTTGCTCCTCATAGAATTTCTCTAGTTTTAATAATTTGGAAAAAATATAGGAAAAATTATTTTTAGAATTTGTTAATTTTTTTCAGGTTTAATTCTTTTTTCTTCTTTTTTATTTGTTCTAATTATTTATACATGACAGTAGAGTGCATTTTGATACATCAAACTGATTCCTGGGACTCTGTCCAAAATAGGGCAAGATCACTATAGAGGCAAAATTTAAAATACATTGTAAATTGTTATGTTTTACTTGTAGTCATGTTAACACCCATAGAATAAGGCTCACTTTTTCTAGTCTCTATGCAAAGCCAATTGCTTTCACAAATCTAAATTGATAATAGATAATTAGACAACAATTTTTATTTGCTACCTTTTACATGTCATATCTGTAGTTATCACAAGTGAAATGTTTTAATATTTGTGATATGTCATGGAAGATATTTAAAATGTGTGCAGATTATTTTCATTTGCATAAGAAAATATATGGAATTCTGATACTATTAAAATATTGATATTTGTTATTATTATGGAAAAAAGGTTGATATTTTGATAATGAAGCTATTATTTATTGACAAATATTTCAAATTTGAGCTATGAGCATTTGTTTTTGAGATTTATATCTAAAAGTGTATAATTTATCCAATGTCTTGTTAATAATTCTGAAACTTAGATTATATCCTGTTTTACCGGTATCTGTATTAAGTCTCTTAAAATTAAATACTAGAAATTATGAGAATATCAATACATTTTGATTACAAAGAATGTTACATCTCACTTGTTAAATGCAATGATATTGGCTTAAGTATTTTTGTTTGTTCTTATGGGTAAAATATATTGTATCTTATAAATATTTTGTGAGTAAAAATGAGGACAAGATCTATTTATAAGTAAAGGTCAGTAAATATAAAAATATTAAAAAATTTAAAATGATATAAAATCTCATAGGTACTATTAACGGCCCCAAAAGATACTAGCATACAATGAATCTTGATTTTAAAAAATAAACCAAGAAATATGAATTTGTATACTTTTTAGAAAAGAATTTCATAGCAACATGATGTAACAAGTTTAACATGCACTGTCTCTTTTAGGACTGGATTTGCCATTTATGATGATGCCTCATCCTCTACTTCCAGTCAGCTTACCTCCTGCATCAGTTGCCATGGCAATGAATCAGATGAACCATCTCAATACTATTGCCAACATGGCTGCTGCAGCCCAGATTCACAGTCCACTCTCCAGAGCTGGTGCCTCTGTTATAAAGGTAAGAATGATTATTTAGAAGATGAAAAAGGTTTTAATTGCATATAAATTTGAATAAATTATTAGCAATACCATTACATCTTCAGTAGTAACACATAGCTCATTGACTTTGTATATTATCATATAGTATTGATGAGTTGGGTTTCTGACCAGGCCTGCCAGGTTTGTTATTGTTTGTGTTTGTTACTTTTCATTATATGGCCACACTAATTTTTAGTTCCATTTTCCTGTCTTGAAGTCATGCACACAAGTGTGTGGGAGGCATGGCCAGACAGTAGAAGAGTATGAAAAAATCATTCCCATTGCTAGGGTGAAACAAAGTAAACACTGCATCTTTTAGGAGTTTGAGGGGCAGTTATGAGATATGACCATGGCATAGGACTTATATTCAGAGAAACTCAGGTTCCAATTCTGATTTGACACTGACTGAATGACCTTGGGCATAGCACTTAACCTGCCTGAATGTGTTTCCTCAACTGTAAAATGAAGGTCATAATAATAATCTATCCCAGTTATTTCATTGACTGTCTATGGATAATGTGAGTAAAATACATGTCAAAACCTTGAAACATTAAACAAATATTTATGGTAATTTGTCACACTATCATTATTTTCATTAGGATAAAATTTTTCAAAAGTTTATGGCCATATGTAACACTAATAATGAAATTCAAATAATATCTTGTTATTTCCTCCTCTGTTTTCTATTATTCTTAGACATGTTCTCTATGCTTTCTTTCTAAGTATTTATGAACTAAGCTTTTGAATATTTTCTTTCTCTTAAGAAAATGGTGATATAAGGATATAAAGGAATCTAAGAGTATGGTCAATCATAACAACACATTGGTTTGTTCCTTTTCCCCTTCTTTACCTGGCAAACACATTCTTGAAATAGACATGCAATTACATTGGACAATATGGGAAACTGATAAATAACAGATACTTTAACTTTCAGAAACTTACAAACTAAATGTGAGATATACAAGAATCCATGCAATTAGTATACTAACAAGACAGACTATGATAAATAGCATAAGAGAATCATCAAGTACTACTGGAATTTAGAGGAGGAAGAGATCATTTCTACCTTAGAGAAGAGAAGGGGCAGGTAAAGACACTGCAGCTGATGGATATGCACTGAGCCCTGCAATACTGATATGATTGTAATAGATAGGCCTGGGGATAAGAGAAGAGAAAGCGGAAGAAATATGAGATTCTGAATATTTTGGTCACATTTTAAATTTCACTTCTAATTTGGGTTTGGGAACACTTCTAAAACACTGAAGAAAGTTTAAAACATAACCTTATATGAAAGGAAAAGAAAAATTGGTCATTTTTATAAAACTTCATATGTATTTCAATGACTAATTGTAAAGATCATAGCTGTTAATGGGTTAATGTATACTAGCTGTTTGAATATTTGGTCAGAGTGTAAACTGAGAATTAGAGTTGTCTTTGAGAACAAAATTACCCATAGGACATTATTTAAAATAAAGAATATATTTACCATGATTTTAAAATTAGATGGTCATTAAGAAAACATGACCTGCATACAAATTTTGAAATTCAATTAGAAACAAAAACATACTTCACTGGTATTGTTATATTTGCTTTTAAATGATGGAAGAATGCTTTGACACATGCTCATGAGTCTTTAAAGGTGCATTTGATTAGTTTTCATGAGGACCATTTTTCAGATTGAAATAAAATTCTGATTTTATTATTCAATAAAAATGTAATTTTCATTGAATTCTTGAAACTTTGGATAGTTTTGTGAAGAATTTGAAGCCAAGAGTGAATAAGGAGTGCAATTTATGATTTTAAGTTGGTCTTTCATGATAATTATTATGGTGATAGAAATGGAAAGGATTATTACCTTCTCCTTATTCCAAACGTTGCTTTGTTGTTAGCTTATTAATTCAATATCATTATAATTTTGTTTATTGGTGATTAGCCTATTTCACATACAAACTTTTAGAAAAGAAAGTCTAAAGTATCACAGATACAATTTTCAGCACTTTTTAAAAGCTCAATATTAGATCATACTTTTATTTAAGTCCTGCAAAATTCACAGAAGCCATTTTATGCTGAAGATAAATGTTTGCTTTTGTATATTTTGATTAAAGTAAGTTGAAAGAGACAGGAATAATTCAAATGACCTTGGATACAATTGCTGTATAAATCTACCTCAAGTAGATTTCCACTGGAGGATAATTAGATAAATGAAAATATTTGTAAATAGACTGGGCAACAGAGTGATATCCTATTTGAAGAAAAATTCAATTTCAGTGAATAGAGAAAGGCTTTTAATAAAGTTGTCATATTTGTTTTGTAAAAGTGCTATTATGTAATATTAACATTATCATATTTAAAAATAATAAGTCACAGACCATACATAATTAAAATTTTATAAGTCACTAAAAATAATTGAATATATATATATATATATATATATATATTAGAATGTCACCTTCCTTTGAAGAAGCTACCAAGAAGATACCAGGAATATGATACCAACTTTTAAGGATATGTTTTACACTGTTATTTGAGTTTCAACAGAATTTGCTTTTATGTGCATCACCATAAAGAAGAGGGTTTCAAAGTTAAATCTATTAGAATCCTATAGGCATTGGAAAAATCTCTATGTTGAGAATTCATCTCCTAAGATTACTAGGGGAATATAAAAACTTGTCAATCAAATGTATAGTTTATGTATTTAGAGATTTGTATAATTTTTTATTCTGGTAGTTTGATATAAAGACAGATGTTTAAATTGATACTTCTCATTGTTTTACAAAAATCTAGACTGAAATCATCATGTCTTCTATATCATATTTAACATTTAGAGGTAAAATATCCTTCCAACATATGCATGGTCAGAAAATTTAGCATTTAATGTTTAGAAAGAAATGACATAGCTATATAATTTGATTGCTTTCTGACAAATCTAGTATAAATTAGGAAATATTAGAATGGTCTAATCAGAAGCATTCTTTGTTGTATAATCAATATAATCAATTTAAAATACAGCTGCAAAGCAAAATATCAAAACTTTTATATACACAGTTAGAGACTAGTAAAAATTAGCAAGAGTTTATGAGTTTAAAAAATTGTGAAAATTCACAAAAAAATGTTAACAATGTTGTTGATGTATTTAAATATTTCTAATTGGAATGGCATTTCCTGTAAAGATTATATCTCTTAATGGGTTAGTGTCTAAAATTACTCCTAACATGACTGATTTCATGTTACCAATATTTTAACAACTGGCTCTCAAATTACTGAATATTTAACAATTAGCTTTGGATTGAATAGGCCTCAAGACAACTCTCCTTTTGAAGCATTGCAAAAAATATGCAACTCAAACTTTCCATGCCAATTTTCTATCAGATCCTTTAAAGGAAATGAACACAAACTTTTCAACCAGTTTACCTATCAACTATATTACTTCAGAATATTACAACAAATTAAAAGTTTTAGTAATATCTTTTAAAATATTTGAATAAGCAGTTTGCCTTTCAATTTAAATCATAATCTTTTAGCACAGAATGATGTCAATTTGGGCATAATCGCTTTGGGGCTTTTCCAACCAATAGGTTTGTAAATATTTTTGTTCCATGGTGAAAAAAGTTAAGTTCTGATGCTTGCAAATATTCTTAGCTGGTGAAAGGTACTACATAGGAAAATAGAGTTGGGTGGCATAGTCACAAGTGCTGTGCTGTTTTTTCCCACACAGCTAGAAAATAAAATCATAGCTTTTAAGAAATCTGAAAAGTGGGGTTGGTTATGGCTCAGTGGTAGAATGCTCGCCTACTTKATCCTCAGTACCACATAAAAATAAATAAATAAAATAAAGATATTATGTCCAACTACCACTAAAAGTAAATTTTAAAAAAGAATTATGAAAAGTGATATCACTTTTAGAGGCTGAGATTTCTAAAGAAAAACATATTATAGTTTAATAGATTTTCTTACCTCCATGGATTTAAACAATTAACAATGAATCTTAGGTTTACATAATATTCTTACTATAGTGTGGCTATCTAAGATGATAGCCATTCATGGAATATGTCTGTTTAAATTTAAGTTAATTAAGTAAAATTAAAACTCCAATTTCTAAGTTGCAATCAGCCACGTTTTAAGGGCTTAATAGCTACATTCTGCTTTGTGGCTACTATATTAGACAGCACAAATATAAATCTATATTTTCATCATTTCAGAAAGTTTCTGGAGTAATGGATATGCTCTACACATTCTTCAGTTAGTTTCTCAAATGATGGAAAAGCTCAACACATTATGCAGGGTCAATGAAATGTCCAAACCTATCAGTCATCTTTGAAAAAAATATTCTGATAATACTGATTAACAATCAACAAATGTATTGCAGTTAGTCTTTCAGTTGCTAAGAAAGCATATTTATTGCTAAATATTTTTAATTTCAAATATTTTTAATTTTATTTTCTCTGAGAAACCAGAGACAGAGAACACATTATTCACAGATGTAACAAATGGGTAATGCATGCAAAGGAATATGTTACACTGACTTTTTAAAAATAAAAATAAAACATAGGACCTCCAAATATTTGTAGAATTATATACTATTTTCAGCTAAAACTCTCATACTCTGTTAGCTATATAATATCTATTCAGAAGCAGAAATCTGGAATCATTGGAATAGTATTATTAAAAAATAGGCTCTTTGCCTGTCTTTGAATTCTATTTTCAATATTTCTTGTTATGTGACATTAGACAAATTAATTAACCTAACTTCATCTCAATTTGCCTGTCTCCCAATGAAATGGGAATGGTAATTGTACTTACTTCACCTACTTCATAGATAATGTGATGCTAAGAAATAATGCAATGAGCTAAATAAAGTGATAATGTGATAATGTGATGAGAGAAAACATATAACACAGAACAGTGTTTGGCATGTAATAAATATTTAGTGTATATTAGCTAACATTATTTTATTTATTTCATGTTCTAGGATCCATGTAG